GCAAACATATTTTGCTAGATGGTAATTTGATACAAAGTGGAAAAAAGACCTGCATCCTTTTTCAGTGCTGCTATCTGATTTCAGTCTTACTCATTTTTTTGCATTTCTCTGGAAGATGCCGATACTGTCAAATTGGGACCTTTTTGACTTGTGGTGGAGATGGATTAAGTGATCAGCACCACTTTTCTGCCTGAGGCTGCTGCCTCTGGAACAGGAAGGACTGAAGGGCATGTATTGTCACTCAGGAATAGTCACAGTTAGGCTGGCATGTTAATTTAAACTGACTGTCAAGGATGGATGTAACCTATTGTCTTTGGAAGTGCTGCTCACAATTTCAAGAAAAGGTAGTGTTTTGGCAGTAGAAAGACTATGTGTCTTTACCACAGAGTTACAATGAGCAGAGATGGGCCAGAGTCTAGCAATGCTTGCTACCCTGCCCCTTGAGTGTAGAGGGTAGATTTGGCACAGTTTTCAAGTGACATCTCTAGCAAGATTTGAAAAAGGATTTTTTGAGTGACTACAATCTTAAATGGAGATTCAAATTCTTGAATGCATGATAGAGCAATAGCTTCTCAAAACTGCAGGGGGAGGCAGAAGACTACTAATGGATGACTTAGAACTAGAATTGGTATTTGAAGCTGAGAAAGAGATTCCTTATCTGTTTAAATTCCTTGCTTCTGTGCACCCTTTGAACTCCAGTAATTTTAAATTGACTGCTACTTGGTGACCTTACAAAAGGGTATGAGATGCAGATGTACATTGTCACACTGTATAAATAGCCTTACAGGGAAGAGAGAGTACGCATTTGCTGCTCTTGGCAAAATGGGAGCCAAGAACAGTTCCCTAGCAAAGTTAAATCAATTGATCAAATATAATGCATAGGAACAGCCAGAGGGAAGTACGGTTGGAAGAACTGCAAACTGAAGGTGTTTGTCCTTCAGCTCTCACCAGCTATATTTAAGGATTTCACTTCCAGCACTTTTATTACATTGGTTACTTCCAAAACAAATAGTGAAAATGTGTAGGCTGCTTTCTTCTCTAATGGTAGAATAATGCTTTAATGTTTTTATTTTTAACTCAGAGTATTTTGGCAGAGTAGATGAGGCTCAGGGACTGTATTTGATGTCCTTTCTTTGGAACTGTTGTACTTTGTTGTCAGAAGGCCAAGCTGTCTTTTCTCGTTACTTCAGATCAGGCCTTAATCTTCAGTACCTCTTGTTTGCCAGGCAGGTCTGTATTAAAATCCTAATTTCTTCAGAATATGGATGACTAATTCAGTATCCAAATCTGTAAACATTTCTGATCAGATCTGTTAAGAATTGTGTTACCAGTTAAATGCAGTTATTTCTTACGGACTTTAAAAAATATTTTCTTGTCTTTGTACATCAGAAACTAATGCCTGCCACTTGGAATTTGCCATTTTTGTGTTTATAAAATTTGCAAAAAAACAAACCTTAAGATTTTGCTGACTTTGAATAGCCAAAAATCATAATAGAGTGTAAGCTGGGGAAGTTGTGCTTCACCCAGTGTCGTGTATGAGCAGCCTCAGGACACATAGTGGGTCAAGATATCTTTTCCTCAGGCAGAGCATTCTAGGAGTTCAGTCTGACCTACTTCCCTTGCTGAGGAAAGGGCAGCCTGCCCTGCAGCTACTTAAATCTTTTTCTGAAGAATTAGTGGGTAGGGGCACTGAAATGACATTGTGCAAAATTTGTCCCAAGGACAAGTCACTTGCAATTTTTTCACTCTGGGCTGATATGATCACAGTAAAATGATGACCAGTCAATTTGCAATTGTCCATTGAAGCTGGAAATTTAGCACACTGAGTGAAGAGGTTATGTCTTCTAACAGCAGTTCAGTTATTGTTGGTTTTTCTCTTTACCCTGAATTTGAATAGAAGACAGATTCTAACAGCATCCATTGGAGCAGTCCTTTTCAGTTAAATGTAAATTCATCCAAAATAGTTGATTTTCCACTGCTTTTGTGTTAGGATTTTCTGTTAAAGAAATGCATATATGGAAGAATGAGTGATGTATTTATTTCACAAATACATAGTGTGCTTTAGAGGGCAGTGCATTTAGAAAGTGATACGCTAATACATATGCTTTTACATTTTGTGGAAAAGCTAGAGGAATTTGGTTTTAGGCATGGTTTGCTACTATGTATTGCTTATGGGTCATACTTCAAATGCAAATCCAGAATGTTGCATGAGGTATCCTATAGACTTCAGCTTTTTGAAAAATACTGTGCAAACCTGTGGAGCTTGAAACTTAAGGGAATGTTGGCCACGCTATGACAGAAATACTGGGTTTGAACCAGGACTGCATTGCTTGCATAGCTGCTTTCCAGGGAGCTGAGTAAGCTGCAAAACCATATACGGTGTTCTTAACAATGCTGCTGGCTTCTGAAACATCCTTAGACAACACCTTTCCTGGTCAAACAGAAGTGACCGCAAGACTGTCACTGACATTTGTATGTCTGTAACAGTTACATGACTACTAGTCCTCTACCCTTCAAATTTGTGCAGTTTGATTCACAGGCAAGAGGACGTACCAAGGAACAGGCTGTCAGAGGAGGAAAGTGGTATGAATCATCAGCTTCCCAGTGTGACAGTCCTTAAACTCTTCTGTTGTTCAGGAGTTTCATCTGCTGTTTCCTCAGCGAATGAGGCCATACAGGCACCTTGGTTGGTCTTCCGTGCTGTTGAGACTCTAGGTCACAATCCTCTTGGCTACCTGAGAAGGAATCCCACAGTTGAAGAATGCTTTTTGTTGTTGCTTTTACTTAGTTCATTGGTTGGTTGGTCGGGGATTTTTTTAATATAAAGCTTATCATCCTGAAGCCTTCTTGCTGCAAATCACTTTTAGTATTTAATACTTAACTGGGGTAAATATGTAATATTTTATAATAATTTTAATAATAATAATACTAAACCAAAATAATGATAATACAGGCGAACCTTTTCATCCAGTATTCCTTGATTTTAGGTTTTCTGCATCAGGAGTACTGTGACCATGCTGTAGTTCTCACTTTATATGAAAAAAAATCGTTATTGTAGAGTTGTAACTCTACCTTATGCAACAGTGAATCAGTTAATGGCGCTTAAAGGCCAGTTCTAAATAGGTCATGAGCAATGAAGTCAGTAGGGCTAGCGTTTCAAGCGTTTATTTTCTTGAATGAGGATTGACTATGTAGATCTTTTATGTTTTCTAGTAGGATCATCATCTCCAAACCTGTTCTGTGCTAAAATCTGCCAGCACTGATATGAAAATTACTTCTGTTGTGCATTCGCTCTATATGCACTCAAGAGGTTTTTAAAAGTTTCTGTGGAGGGCCAACTGTGTGTGTGGCAGTGACCTTGCTGGAGCTGTTCTGTGTGGCACTTCAAAAGTTTGGGTACAGCTTTCAAATACAGTTCTGTATTCAGCACGTCCCTGTGCTGAACAGCAGAATTGTGCATATATACAAAGAACTTGTGCTTTTAATGCAGCTTAGATTTGTTTGCATACTCTCATTTGGAAAGCACCAACTGGCTTGTGTACACTGATGCAAGTGACATTGTGGAAGAACTTGGGTAGGTTTCTTAGTCCACCCTGAAGCAGAGCCTATATCTAAATAGTGGTGCATGTTTCATCTGACCTATGTTTTGTTTTGTTTTTTAATATGAGGAGCAAGGAGTATTAGAAAACATATTTAATAGGCAGTAGGAAAAATTTTAGTGAGCTAGGCATGTATCGAAAGGGTCAGATGATATTTTACTGTGTAATTTCATGTGTCACAACTGAATGCCGTTCCCCTGAGCCTAGTTTTCAGAGCACTGTGAAGTTACTACTAAGATGGTGACATTGGTCAGGTGAATTACTTTCCAAAACCAGTAACAGCAAGAGGAAAGAACATCTGATTTTTGTATTGTTTGTCAGCTACTTGGCATAGCTGTGAGATGGTGCAGCGCTCCACAAAGAGTACTATATTTAGCTGTTTCCAAGGAGATGTTCTGTGCGATATTGATAATTGCATTAATCCTTGATTTACACAATCTGCAGGAAACGAAACTGCTCCTTTTCCTCATGTTGGCTTTTTAATTGCTCGATGATCTATAATTGATAAACACCTTGATTTAAGTCTTTTGTGTATGCATGTGTGTTGGGGACAAAATCAGTGATCCAATGATTATTTTTCTGCCATAGAAATGATTCATGAACATGAGCACTGCTTCTTGATGTTACTGTCTTACTTATACTGCTTTGTTTTTACTTGTGTGAGGTATGCCTGCATGTGAAAGACTTCCATTGTAAATAGGTTGAAGAGATGGCTTAGTGACATCCTGTGTTTTCTGTGTCAAAGGCTAAGAACATTCATGTCAACTTCACTTGTGCCAAGAGTACTGTTAAGATATTCATGGTTGAAAACACAACTCTGCTCAGCATGTGCAATTTTCACAGTATAACAGAACAATCTTCCTGTCTCTGAGTCTGATGCTTTAGTCACTCTCTGCATAAGCAGTCTTTCAGGATGGTATTATCCATGGACCTGTTTCTGATGTGGTCAGCTCAACATGCTCAACATGTACATCTCAAAGTTAATGATGAATTTCTGAGGTGGAATTATTTCAAGCAAAACTTTTGACTTTTTGTCTAAAATATATTCTATATAGTTGACCTGCACTAACTGAATTAAATTGAGTTGGAAGGAAGAAGCAAACAGCCAGCTAAAAAGTCAACGTATTAGCTTAGACCATGTAATTCACTATGAATGCTCTTTCTTCATACTGTTGTCCATGGACTAGAGCTTTTTAATTGCCTTGTTGTTATACTTCGGTATTTCATGGATATATAGAGCATATCATGTCACAACGACTACAGGCAAGCAATCTCGGTACTAGTTAAAATTCTTTGGGTTACATTTTATTCTGATTTCCATTCATACTTTATTTGGAACTGCAGCTGACCTACTTGTTTATTTCAATTAAATACTTTGAAACATTGTCTCTTCTTTTGTAGAAAAGAAGAAAGGAGAGCACAACACTGAAGGAGAAAGGAAATGATCAGTTCAAGAAAGGAGGTGGGTTGATAATCTTTTAAAACCATATAAATGTTAGAGGACCTTAAATTAATACTTAGCCATCGTGGTGATGTTGCAGAAAACCCATAGGAAGATCTCACCCCTATCATTGTTCCGATTTATCATCTATACAATTTTTCATCCAGGTCTAGTGAACAGGAGGAGATAGCAGACCTCCGTAAGAGTTAAGTTTAAATCACAAAGATTTGTGTTACTAAAGCAGGATTCTCATGAAAGCTAAGTTTTTAAATCCAAGAACATGATACAGAATTGACTGCCTTCCAAGTGTCATGGTTTATTTTACTAATCAAAAAAGGCTTCTACTAGGATCTGAGTTTTGCTAATGCATGTGCTTAGAATTGGTGCAGGACTCTGTGGCTCAGTAGCACTCTCATACCTTTGTACGTTTGCGTGTTTCTTTTTAGCCACTGACTGTTACACATTTTATTTATGTACGTGTACATACTTGTATATATACAGACATTAATATGTACATATATGTACATCTATATGCATATATACATATGTGTATAGAGATGTACACACATGTGTATGTGTGTATATAGAGATGTACACGTACACACAGATACATATATTTTTTTAAAAAATCTAGAGGTATGTAAATTTCTAGCTTATGCCAGAACTGGGTATGTTCTGAACGTAGTTAATACATAGCAGCAGGGTTGAAGGCAGTAATAAGTAACTGTACCAATGCTTTTAATTAAAAAACATAAAGGGGGAAGTGATTTTGACATCTACCTTTCATTTAATGTTCTGGTGGATAGAGGATTCACAAAGAAACCAGGAAATGCAGATTCATACTTTCCTCACTCAGCAGAGACACAAAGAAGTAACTTCCCCTTCACAGAAGTATACCCTGATAACCAGACAGTGGCCTTCCTGTTTGGAGGTCTCTTATTGTGTGTGCTAAGAGAGCAAGATTCCTGGGGAATGATTTACCAATTCAGGCAAGCATCAGAGCAGGTGGGAGGGAACTGCTCAGACCATGAAAGCAGGAAGCCTGTAATGTCGGCTGAATCATCTGAAGTCGTCCGAAGCCTCTTCTTGACAAATTCTTTGGCAGATCTTTTCAGTGTGCCTGTGCCTGCCCAGGTGCTTACTAGTCAGAAATACACAACCTTTTAAGCTCCTAGATGGTCACCAGCTAATGTGCGCAGAAAGAATGGCTCTGCTGTGAGGACAATGCACTTGTCAGGTGGCAGGGCATTGTTCAGAGTCAGTATAGGGCCTTTTCACTCTTGACTCTACTTTTATTAGAAAATTAGTAACTTGGTAATCCTATGTGGTTTACAACTGGTCCTTGCTTTAGACCAGACTTGATGACAGATGACCTTTGGGTGATAATGGGTTTGTGGTGACTGACCTTTAAATCAGTCATTGAAGATAATGTGGCAAATAAAATATCTCCATAGCTGCTTTGAACAGGTATCAGTGCAGTGATGTGTTTCAGCACATGCTTCTTTTCAGGTCAGGGCTACGCTTAATCTAAAGAGATTCTACCTCTAAGGCTGGTTACTCAAATAGAACGAAAAAATTTCAGGGATGAGAATTATATGCACATCATGCTGCACTTGTTACATTAAGCTCAGGACTAATTTTCTACTTTTATAAGGGTGTTGATTTTAAAATAATTGTCATTGATTTATGTACTACTTAGTAATGTACTTTGTCTGAGAGCAGCTACTGATTCTGGTTTAATATTGCATCATATATTGAGAATTGTTTCTGAAGATGTCATAGCCATGTGGTTCACTGACTGTATTGGCATTTGAAATAAATGGTCTATCTTGGGTTTTTGTTTTTGTTTTTTTTTTGCAATTATATTTGCAGACTATGGAGAAGCAGAAGATTCTTACACGAAGGCGCTGCAGATTTGTCCAGCCTGCTTCCAAAAAGATAGGGCTGTTTTATTTTCAAACAGAGCTGCTGCAAAAATGAAACAGGTGAATATTCTTTTTATGTTATGAAACACATATTGATTATGACAAAGGCACTAATTAAGTCATTAGAGGTGCATAAAGGAAGGCAAAGGAATAAAGCTTTTTGCAGGTTTGCTGCTCACTCAGTCTGTCATGCTCCCAGTAGTAATGCTGGTGGGCTTGGTTTTACTGAGGATGAATACAAACCTGAAAGTTGGAATTGGAACAGCTGTTCAAAGTTGCTCTGCTGCATTATTTTTAAAACACTGTTTTTTCTTTCATTCTCTCTATTTTAATGAAATTCAAAGTTCAGGTGGAACAGATGTCTTTAAGCATGTTTAGTGTATGCAGACCATGTATCAGATTGTTTCAAATTGTAGCTAGTTGTAGTATTTTTTCTAAAAGCCTGTATTTTCATATCTTTGTCTTCATTTAATTGGCTCAAATGCTTTGAGGCATAAGCAGGACTTCCTAACTATGGCTTTATTAATTCAGTTAGTCTGCTTCCTTCACGGTTACTATATAGTAAGGCACATTCTGGATAGAATGGCTGAAGCTTTCTTCATATGTTTTCTGTTCCTTGACCAGGGACGCGTGCCCAGGTGTTACCAGAATCACCAATACACTTAGGTAGCATGGGAGGCATAGAACACAACCTGTCTGAACAGAAACTTTCACTTCTTTAGAAAGAGGAGATACTAAGAATTCAGGAGAAATTACTCCTTATTTTTGCCTTTGTTTTTAAGATTAAATTATTATAGAAAAGTCACAGTAACTCCTATCATCAGTTTACTCTTCAGCAAACGGAATTCGCAGTTTTCCTCCAGTATTGCGGCACATGCAGTTCTGTTTAGAAATGTACCTTGCAGCCATATTTAAACATAAATAATTAAATTCTTACTCAGCATAGAGTATTCTTGTTCAGGTATAATTATCTAACTTGCTGTTGGGATACAGAATTGTTTGAGCAGACAAGGAAAAAATGGAATATAAGTCTGTAATAACAGATGCTGGAACCTTTCAAATATGAAAGCTGTAAACTGAGAAACCTCATCATAAGCCAGATGTTAACTATTCATATCACTGGGAAACTAATCCTATAGTCCCCAAAGGAGCCTAAAATGATAAAAGAACTGTGCACAATCTAGTGCATCTCACCAGTATAGATCAGTGAAATCTAACAGACCAATACATTACTCTGAAAATAGATTCCTATTATTAACTTCCCCATTAAGTTTGTTCTTCCATACCTGCTGCACCCATTTGCTTTGCACTACAATAAAAGCTTGTGAGGCATTCTTCTCTGAAACAGCTTCTGTCTTACAGAGGAGACAATAGTTTCTTGGTGCAGAAAGATTACTACTACTTAGATCAACAATACAAGTACAGAACAGCCTGATTTTTTTACTGTTTTTTGTTTTGTAGGCCCTTTTTAGTTTGGATGAAAATAGAATTTCTGTCTCAGATCCTTTGCTTTTTTTTTCTTGATTCATTTTAAGCAGATTGCCTGGCTCTCATCTTCTAACTGTGGTTGTCAGGGTGCACTAAAATCTTGTCCTTACCACTTCTGGAAGTCTCCTGCATTGTCCCTTGTAGGGAAAGCTGTATTAGTGCTAAAGGCAGTATCTGCTTTCCGAATGTCTTAGCTCGTACAGACAAGAATTTATTTGGGACTCTTGGGAACCGTCTATTCCAAACCCTTAATTAATTGACAAAGGTAGAAAAGCTGTAGCTCAGTTAAGCCAAGGCCTGCAGATGTGACTCAGCCTTTTGACTGTAGCTCGCTGCCGGCTGTTCAGTGCAGACCGATTAGCGAGGCAGCCGTGCAATTTGAACACTGGCAGCCTTCACAGAGAGGAAGCTAATCACTGCTAAAGAGCTTTACATCAGAAGCAACAGTATGAAAAGCCTTGATTACACGAACATCCCAGTTCCCTGGAATGCCAGACAAACCTTTTTGCTTGCAATTGTAAATAAGTCACATTTCTTGGGAAACAGTTTAAATTTAATGAAACTGTTTTGTGTTCTAGGACAAGACAGAAGCTGCCCTAAGTGACTGCAGCAAAGGTATGACTTTTTTTTTCCTGTGTGCTGCTCTTGTGCCAGATCTTTCATGCATAAATTATGCCATTTAGTGCCTTACTGCAGAGCTGTAATTTTGGGCATAAGGGTCTTTAAGGAATTTAAAGAAAAGCTGTGATGGAAGACATGTGAATCTAGAATTATTTATATTATTTATTTTCTAAAATGTCTATCAAACTTTTTCTGTTTGCAGTAATTTACTTTCTATTCTCTTGTGCCCAATAAGGCTGTTGTTTGTATTTCTTTTTAATAGGAAAGTCTTTTTATCATGGAAGCTGTTTCCTTACACCTACTATTTTAAACCCACTTCCACCTGCCATTCCTCCCCAAATCTTGGTTTAATCCCAGATTCCAAAGAACTCTGAGGCTTTACAGAATTAAAAGCATTATCAAGTCCCTTTTATGCAAGGCTTTTGCTTTGTCACAAGGGTTTATGCTCTCCCGTTCTTGTCCTGCATAGTTTCCTCTCTGCAACTTCTAGTGAAATCATTTCAGCTGTGCATTGGTTTATTGCTTCCACCCACTCACCCATGCTTGGATTTTTGTTAAACTCCCCATGACAGCTGGGAAAAAAATCCAAATTACCAATCAGAAAACTAATCCAATGGCTGCATGCCAGTACTGCTTGTACAGTAAATATGAGTTTGTACATGCTAAAAGTATTCTTGAAGGTAACAAATTCTAGCTGCCCTTTGTCACTTTGGGGGTTTGCCTTGTTTTGCTGGTGGTGCATTTTGAAAAACACTTCTGCTGATTTTGTAGTGGCTTAAAGGGAATAGGTTTGCTTTGCAGCAGTGAGGCTTAAACCTACCATCGCTTGACACTCCCCAGGGACTTGGCTTACAAACTGCAATGCAACACTTGGAGCACAGCAGAGCAATTCACACTGACCTGCAACTTGCTGACTGTAGCATTGTCTTTGTCCTTCCAGAAGAAATAAGCTAGAATATTTAGTTAGATGAACCTAGATTTAATTGTCCTGAGAACCTTTTCAATGGGTTAGTAATTATAAAAGGGGCAGTCTTTCATAATCCTTCTTTCTGTGATGAAAAATGGATGAAGAAATTATTGAAAAATTACCATTTGCAGGTTATTGTTAAGTTTAACATTCAGTCTTAACTGCATCTGTAAACAGGGTCATGGCTACCAAGGGAATAAGGAGAGGTAAAACTTAAATTCAGACAGTATGCCCCTCTGCTAACCTGTAAGCTAATATAACCATTTGTGGATTCCCAATCCAGTTTTGACTGTTTGATATTAAATTCAGAAGAACATCAGTATTCTCCTGGAGTTTGTCTCAACTTGAGCTAAGATAAGCAGGGAAATGCTTGGTTTCCCTGCTATGTGTATCTTTAGGTATATTTAACTTTAGCTGTAATCTAATAATATACACTTATGAAATATACAAAAGCTGAAAAAATCTTACAGGTTTTTAACATTTCTGAACCATCACATAGAATCTCTGCATATATAGTATTGCAAAATTAAATGTCCATTATAAATCACTTCTATAGGTGATAGATTGTAGACATTAAATGAAATATGATCATTTGCATTAGACTTTCACAGATGTATGCCTCTTCTGAATTGTGACTTAGCTTTTAAACTGTGACTCTGCTTGATTATAAGCTACATTATAAAGATAACTATTAAGAGTTTAATGCACACTTAAGAATCCATTTGAGGGGTATAGAAATGTTTCAAGTAAAATACCGTGCTTTGTTTTTGTTTTCTAGCAGTGGAATTAGATCCTAACTACATTAGAGCTTTGCTGAGAAGAGCAGAACTATATGAAAAAACAGAAAAACTAGATGAAGCTCTGGAAGATTATAAGGCAGTCCTAGAAAAAGATCCATCAGTTCATCAAGCCAGAGAAGCTTGCATGGTAAGCCTTTTTAATATACTTTAGCCTAACTTTAAACCAAGGTCTTTTCTTTCCTATTCTGAATATTCAGTGCTGTTTATGCAAGCAGCTTCATATGCAGTGATGATAACGTTTTTTTTCAAGTCTGAAAGTGCAGTCTTTCTCATCTTATTTTGCATAAAGAAGATTACATGAACTGCCACAACTTCCATGACAAATCTCGGGTCCATAAAACAGTCCTCTTTTTGCCTTTCTAAAATGAGTGAAAGTAAACATGTGTTCTGAGCTGTAAGCATCTAATTACATGTTTAGCTGTTGAATAGCATGTGGGTACACACACGCACACACTTCATTCTAGTTTTTCTGATTGAGGCTGTTAATTATATTTATTCATGTGCCAGAGAAGGTTGCCTGAACCACTGCTGCATTTTAGTAGCCATCATTTCGATACAGATCTGCAGTTTGGAGATCAGAATACAAGCACCGCGTAATACAGTTCTTGCTAGCTGTTTAATTAGTGAGAGTCTGTTTTTCTTTCAGTAGGATTATTTTTCTGATTGGTAAATTTTCAGTTGAATGCCTTTATGGCATAATTATAAAATAATTACCTTTTTTGATGACTTGATGATGTAACTTTGAGAATGACAGGATTCTATCAGCCTGCATCTATGTTTGGATCTACTTTAAAATATTGATATTTTTGCTTCTTGGTTTAGCTGTTTTCTGTTCTTGTTCTTTCTTATGCCTTGTGTGTGTATTGGCCACTTTGAGTTATTTTAGTAATAGTGACTGAAGTCTGCTGATAATCTTCAAAAACAGCCTGTCACTTGAAGAATAAGGCACCTTGTTGCAAACAGCACACTCTCCTGATTCAGTTACTTTCTTCATTCTAAAAAAAAAAAAATTCTGCATTTTAGTACTGTGTTTCAATGTCTACTTCATCACTTTCAATCAAATTACAAATACTTCAGGATTAAACATTTCTTGCAGAATCTTTGCCATATCTCTGTAAGTGTAAGGAAATGTTTTAAAAGCTTCCTTGGCCTTTAGGATGTGTCAGCTTGGATAAAAAAAGATAAACCCCTAGCACTTCCTGAAATCCCAATCTAACATGTAAATAATCCCTAATCAATAGGGATTTAAAGTCGCTGCCACAACCTGCTGATTTGAGGTTTTAAGTAACTCTTTGTGTAAAATACCAGCACAAAGTGATTTTTTTAGTGATACTTAGTGTGTTAATACTCACTGTGGAAAATAACTGTGGATTTGACAAGTTCAGAGAGTCTTTTCTCAGGAGTAGCAAGAAGGCAAATTTATTTTGTGCAGAAATCTCCTCTTACAGGCTGCTTGCTGCTCTTATTTTTGAAAAGAGGTTATGAAGGCTATGTTGAAAGGACAAATGTGGTAGAGATGTAGCCAGACAGCCTGTGGTTTTGAAGAAACAAGTGCTAATGAAAGGTAGCCACTATAAAAAGTACAGTGGTGGTCACTTTGATAAAAAGTGGGAGATTTAGGTCATGGTAGGTGAATGGTTTGCAAGCACCAGAGAGCCTGGAAAGAGCTGACCATTTTCTGCAGGAAAAACAACAGCTGAACTATTCTTTGCTTCCATTTTAAGGTACATGGGTGCAATGTTAAAACATAATTCTTAGTTGCGCACACAAATCCATGTGCCAATACTTGACTTTAGTTAAATTTTCAAAGGGCATCATTATTTTAGTTCACCTTCATATCAGTGAACCTGCAACATATTCTGCCCCATAAAGAAAAAAAAAAAAATCATTTGCTTTATCTGCAAAATTATTTCTAAAACCGCTTTGAATATGTCAATGCAGAAAAGTTTTTGAAAGGCTTAGTTTTAATTGGTTTAATTCTCCATTTGGGAAAATAAATCATTAGCAGTGATTTCCCCTCCCCGCTTTTCCCCATACTATGGTGCTGTAAGTGACAGATTAGAAACTGCTTTTACAGCGTATTAAACAAGAAGCCTTGCCTGAAATTACTTCCTTTGGGACTGGATCAGTTGCACTGATGGCAGAAAAATATTCGGCTTAACTGTGTAACTCCTGTTAGTGGTAAGGGTATGGTTTCACAAAACAGCTAAACTGATCTACTAACTACCTGCTGCTTATAAAGCTGTCCAGTTGCTTTCCTTGTGCTGGCGCTGGTGCTGGCTCATGTCTGACCCTCGGGGATGGCTGGTTCTATATATGAGTCTGGCAGACAACAAACTCTGCTAAAGGGAAAAACAGCAACAAGCCAGCAAAAAAAGCCAGCAACCAGACAGCCCCAAAGTAAATACTTCTATATTGCCTTGGCTTTTTGCAGCCAGACAAGTCCTACTGCAAATGCTCATGAGAAGGAAAGACGACGTGGTCAAGGCAGTGCAGGATTTGGGGCCATTCCTTTCGGCAGCACCCACCGACAAGGTCACTTGTGAAACAATCCCCTGATGCTTGTTGCATGAATCTGGTTGAGAGCAGGCGAGCACTTTATCACCTAGCTCTTGGCAATGGCTTGACAAATGACAAGCTTGTCAAACATCATTACTGCATGGGTAGTGCATGTGATGGGTCCATCACAGCCTAGAAAAGAGTATTTGTGTCGGCCTTGTTCATAGTCTCCTAGCTGAGACTATGGCTTATTTGATCTAGGAATTCAGCCAAGGAGTCTGCTGACGTTTCTAAAGGAAACCATGGGGTTTAATTTCTGTAGCTTTTAGTCTTTTAGCATTAGACTAACTCTAGAGTGAGGCCTAGTGTAATCTAGCTCATTACTTGGTAAAACAGTATTAGTGTATAAGGAGTGCATTTTAGCAGCTCATCACACAAAGAACAACTGTGAAGATCAGACAGACTGTTATGAACCACCAGTGAGGACTCCACAGATTAAGACTTGGGAACACTGTCAGTAGTTGGTAGAAGATGTAAGGAGTTTAAAATACATATATTTTGGCTGATTGGAACCCCCTGAAAGTATAGATACTGTCCCTTATACCTCTTGGAAGACCCCTATTTTCTTTCAGTGAGTGTATCTCTAATAATCTCACCAAAGAGCCCTTGCTCAGTAACCAGGGGAGCTTTGGGCTAGAGGAAAATCATAAACAGTTCTGCTGTTCTTCCTGGCCATCTTTCAGGAATGTTTCAGAAAGATCAGTAATTTATTCTTAATTTTTGTAGCTGGGAAATACAGAAGTTGACTGTTACATATACCTTCTGCTCCTTGACCTCATTTTATTAGGCAGAGGCTTTAGGCTCACATGTGGTGCAGAACACTTTGTACAAAATGCCCTCAATTTACACAGCAGTGGGATCTAGGACATTCTGCCCTGAGTTGATAGTGTTCTTTGTCAAGTTTCAGAGTCGAACCAATCTTTTGAGACTGAAGCTTAAAATTCCCCTTTTGAAAAATTAAGGAAGTTTTATACTTTTTAAAATATTCATAATAAATCTCTAAATTCCATAATCAAAAACCAATTCCAGCTGTAACACTGACTCCACATATGTGGTTTACATATCTAACATATAGGAGACTAAGAAGCTTTGCCTTATTTTAAGGTAAAGTGCATTGTTCCTTGCAGAAATATTACAGCAATCTTCCCCCCTCACTGGTAATGAAAATGGTGCATCAAGAGAATCTGAAAATTAGTTTCATTCACTGTTAGAACAAATCTTTCTCCTTCCTGTACACAGAAAATATTTCACATACTGCTTTGGGGAATGTCATAAACTTGTTAAATGACAGTATAAAAATATTAAATACACAGTAGTTCTTTGCTTTGATTCCTGATTTGGTAGCTGCTCTAAAATTTCAGTACTGTTTATATTTCAGGAGTACAGTGATAGTGTTTGATTTAAATCCTAGTGTCACACACTTTAGTTACTTTTGACATCTTCAATGCCAGATTAAACTGTTTGAAATTATAGTGGGTTTCGATCAAATAATCCCTACTGATGCTTTCCCAGAAAGTGTTTAATTATATGGTATCAGTCTTTAGGTTTTGTTTTTAGCAGGTGTGGAACAGCGTTGTGTGAATTTTAGCTTCAGCACAGTTTTTGAGGGATTGGCAGACCAGATAAACTTAGGTACCAAAAGAAGCTGTACTTTAAGTATCATAGACACCAGCTAAACAGCTGTCCTTACAGACAACTTTCTATAGATAAGTAACCTTGCACAGACATTTCTGGAGTGAGAAATGCTGAGTCTTTGGAATCGTATTATTCAGGCAAATAAAACATGGAGTATGTATTTCAGATCAAGGATTTGTGTCTTCATTTCCTGCTAAAGACTAATAACCAAATGTGAGACACATGCTGTATATGCCAAACTCATCCAAGATATAGCAAATCTCACAGCCACAATGCAAACTGAATTTAGAGCCTGGGGATATCCACACATGTTTTCATGCAGGCAGCTTAGGTCCAGACCTGCACCCAACTTAATAAGCCCCTCTGGGTCAGCAGGAGTCAGATGAGGTCTGCCTGGGCTAATTAGATCTGGCTCACTCGTGGTGATGCTGGACCTGGGCTGGTTTCAAGCTTAGCCATCCACGTATATCTGCATTCTAATCCTTAGGACTCGTTCTTCTGGTGTTTTTCTGGGGTGTACCATGTCTCTTCCCCATCACCATAGAAAATGAACTGTATTTGCCTGTGTTCACCGGCATATCCTGCATTGAAGAAGAAAGGAATATCCAGGCAGCTTTGTCAATGGGCTTTTTCTTGAGGTGGACATCTTATTTTGCTGTGGCAATGATATCAGGATGACAAACTTATCCATGATGACTGGAGCTGTAAATGACAGGAAGGAACAAGATTAGGAAATGAATTCTTTAACTATGTTGAGAAGCCAGTTATCACAAGGGAAGTGTATCAGGAGTGAATTCCACACCTGTTACCACAGTCTGCAACTGTAATTAAGTTACCACGCCATTACAGTAGATCTGTCTTACTTGCTATGACCTCCACAAGAGGAGACAGCATGGCTATGCATATAATTGCATGCTGAACTGCCAGAATTATACAATAATAAGCATTGTATAAAAGCTTGAAATAGCACTTCTGAAAAATCTGAAAAAAGATGTCTAAAAAGTGACTGTCATTCATAATATATTTTGTTTTAATGTTGTATTTAACTGATGTATAGAGAATGCAAAATTTAAATGATGCAATGGTAAACGTAGTTGTAGTGAATATAAAGTTCTATTAAAAATAATCATTACAATCATATAGCAAAACACCAGTGCTGTGTAAGGATGGAAGATGAGTCACAGCTGCTCCAAGCTTAAATGGGGATCTCAAATCATTAGGAATGCACAGACCATGCAGTTACGTAATGCTCCTTAGAAACATGTAAGTTTGCTTGTGATGGTGCAACAGATTTTAACACTGCTGCAAGTTCTGAAAAGGGAAAAAGCACGCTAATGAACTGTTACTTGGACTAGTACCTCGCGCAGGATGAATTGTTGGAGTTCCTTCCCCGTGATGAACTGTCAAATCAAGGCCCTTATTTATAATACCTTCTCCTCTGAGAACTATGCTATATATTGTGTAATAAGATGCTGCTCATTAAACTATGTCCTGAAGTTCACAGACAGTTAATTCAGTGATCTTCTGATTAAAGTATTTGTATTTAGAAGATCTTCATGTTTTCACAGTGTGGATTTCCCTGAAGTGTGATACCACTGAGAACTGACTATGGATATTTTCCTCATTACACCTGTGTTTATGTTCAGAAGTCAAATTCTGTGCTTGCTTAGTTCCTCTAGCCTCTCTTACCAAATTTAAAGTGTGTAATAAAGGAAATAGGGCTAAAATATACTTTAATTGTAAGTCTCTTAAATTCCATAACCTTTTCAGTTAAAATTCCAAGCAAACAGATCAGATCTGATTTTCAGCAGTAAAAATATATGGCTATGAAACCTGCACTTACAAGTTACAACTTACTATTTATGTGAACTGATGTCATAAGACGAATTATAGGTGTCCAAAATAAGATGAAATTGTGGTTTGACATAAGGATACCGTTTAAGCCATAAACAATGTATGCTGGCTATGTGTATGAAAATTCCATTAGCTTAACCTACAGTATTATTGAAAGCATGGGTCTGATCCCAATTTTTAACTCTCTCCACAGCGATTACCTAGACAAATTGAAGAGCGGAATGAAAAAGTAAAGAAAGAAATGTTAGGTAAGTAGTGTGTACATCTAACTTGCATAATTATCTTTGTCGTCTACTAGAAAAATTAAAAATGCATGAGTAAAATCTCTTGTATAAAATTTAAAGGAGGTAAATCTTAAAGGAAATACTTGTTCTGTGTTTAAAAAAACCTCCTAATTTCTTCATAGTTCTCTATTACTTGGTTTTATCTCCAGTAAGTCCCAGCCAAATTCTCCCATACAGAAAAGGCTATCAGTTAAATTTAGGAAGAATACTCAAGACCTTCTAAAACAATTTAATATTGATGCGTGTAAAAGCAGGGGAAAATGGTTTGAAACAGACCACCTGCTCTGCCCTTTCTCTCTGCAAGTAAACCTTCAAAGGAAACATTCCTATGAAAGGGATAAAGCAGGGTTTTCACTAAACCTTTATGTAAAAGAAGTCAACCAGCTGTAATAACTGAGCATGTTTGATCCTGTGTCTGAAGAAATAAATTTGGTTCTTTTTGTAGCAGTTCCAACCTAGAGACCTCCAAGTCTTCATGTTGTAGTATTTCAGTTGTGTGTGTTTGGTGGCTGAATTAGACCTCTACCTAGTGTTGCAAACAGGCATCCGGCCTTGCCAGGAGTGGAATTAGATTTTCTAACCTGCATAGCTCATTGCCTCTTGAATTTTTACAATTCTATAACAAAGGATACTATTGACCTACTTGTTTGTAGAAAAGATAATTTAATTACTATAACTGATTTGAACATATGTGCCCCCATCATCATGTATGGTATTGATTGGGTAATATCTTAATTGGATTGATGTATTTCAAAAGGATAACTACTTAAATAAGATTGCCCAAGCAAGATCAGTTTTCATATGTAGCATTACATATAAAGCACTTCCTTGTGCCACTCAGTGTTGTTAAACAAACAGTTTGGGGGGGAACCTCCTGCCCAAAAAAAAAGATTGCTGTCAACATTGTCTACTCCCTCCTAGTTAACAGGGTTTGTTAATTCTTGTAGGTTCAGATGCTACATAAGCCAATGTGACTGTTCTGGTGTTTTTTAAAATGAGTTTTTATATAATCTTTTCATTTGTACTGTTTAGAAAATCCACACAAAAGAGCAAGGACAAATGACAGTACAAGATAAAGAGAAAATAACTGTACCTAACCTATTTCAGAAACAGCTTTCAATAGTTACCTGTTTACTCATTTGAGGTGTGACAAGTAGTTGATGAAATGCTATTTTCAGATGAGTAGGCTCTGAGGGTTTGGGATGGGAAAGGGGAAGACAGTGTTTTTCTATTCTGTAGAGAATTGGGTCAAATAAACCCAATCTGTCTTGCATACTGTAACACTAATTCTTAAAATATTTGGGAAGGAAAGGCTGTTTCAAGGGATTATGCTGAAGATTATATTTTTCTTTATTTTTTTTTCTTGTTGTGTAGGGAGTTTCATTTGCTCTTGCTTTTTACCTGTTTTGACCTAGTAAAGTTGCGATGAGGCTTTCTAGATCTTTACATCATTAGATTCTGTTTCTACCATTGTACTTAGAAAAAGCCATAAATAAAGAAGGTTAAGTGTGACAGTGCTATAAATAAATGACCAATGCAGAAAATCTCCAGAAGGATCATGCCCATTTGTAGGATGAGAGATGGGTTTCAACACAAAGTAATATGTAAACAATTCGTGATCTTTTTTTTGAACTGTTTTTTTTTTTTTTTGAATTGTTACCAGTGTATAAAGAGCCTCACTAAACACAAGGCACTATACTGAAACAATAAATTTGTCTTTATAAACTGTCATTACAAACCTAGTTCTATACTGCTAATTTGTGTCTAGACTTCAGACTAGATGTGATCTTTTTTTAAAAATGTTAATCCAGTGGCAGTTAGGACTTTGGAACTGAACTGGTCTTTTGGCAACCAATTCAGGCCATTTATATTGGGATTCTTGAAAAAGGAATCCCTTCTCAATGATGTTACGAACATGCATGGAGATTCCTGGCTGTTTAAACCAGTAAACATCAGTGTAAACCAGACTAAGTGTGGGGTAGTATAACCTTTGCATGTGACAGAATTCCTATAAATTGTCACAGGTATCATTAAAATTATATGGTGTCACTTGAGCAGGTGATTCTTAGCACTGCTTGTGATCACAAGTGTAACACAAATTGAGGATTTTTTTCTGTAATATATTCTCTTAATAGAACACTTGAAATTAAGTTAAGAATATGGGCAGTAACCAGACTATTTTTTTTTTAAGTGTTATAAAATTTCCTGTATCTTGTCAGTAAGAGAGATGGCAGTGATGTCACAGATCCAACAATGGAGTCCTGGGAAGGAAATACTTCCCAAGGTTTACAAAATGCCGCTGTTCTGTCTGAGGTCAAGGAAAAACCCTTACAATTGAAGAAGGGGGTTTAGGTAGGAGTTCTGGAAGGAGTGAAAGAAGACAAACTTGATATAGTATGGTGGTTAAGAGATTTCTTTGGATTGTTTTTGTTGTACAATGTATTCGTTTTAAGTTGTTTCAGCTTTTTTTTTTTTTTTCCAAGAACTTGGTTAATGTATTTACTAACTGGGTACTGTGTCAGAATAAACTTGTGGTAATCTGTTAGGAGATTATATGTTAAACAGTGCCAGGTGTGCAAGGATTCATTCTTGCCTGTGAGAACAGGGGAGTCAGCTCAAGTGTCTGGATTGTACCTCAGATTTTTTGGTTCCAGAAGAACAAGTCAGATGCATTGTGATAGTTCCAGGCTAGATCTGGTCCAGAAGCACTGACACTAAACTTAATCACCAACAAAATCTTCAGAAAGAATGTCACAGTTCATGCTTTTTGACTCCTTTGGAGTTTGGATATTGAATTGAATTCTCATCTTAGTCAATGAATTAGCCAGTAATGTTGTTTTTCTAGGCCTTTATTCTTTCAACTAAAACGAAGTCCTGGTATACCCAACTAACTAACACTGTCATGAAAACTGGGGCTGTGTACAAACAAACCAAAATAAATGGAGCATGTCTTCCTCCTTCCCCAAGTGTGTTTCCTGTTTTCCAGTGCTACAGCTCATTACCACATAGTTTGTCAGAAGCTGAAACCACTTCTTAAGTGATTGTGTGTAAATAAATCAGAGTACACATTCTTGGTTGGATTTTTCTTCCGGACTACCTAACTATGAATTCTTGTGTGCAAGTGGTACTGCATGTGATTTGATTAAGTTGATGTCACTAGAAAAAGCACGCTTTGTTGCCAAACCAAGTCCATTTCTGCTATGTGCTTTGCAAGGGTCTATCTTTTCCAACGCTGACATTTGTATTTAAATTATTTTCATATTTTCCATTCAGCCTTTGTAGGTTAGTTTTGCCACTTGCCATTGAAGTTTGCTCAGTATGAACTAAATTCTGAGTTTCACGTTAATGAAAGCTTAACTTAGAGCACACTTTGAAAATAGTTTTTAAATCCATGTGGCTCTTTCCCTTTGTGCTTTAATAACATGAGCATCTTCTGTCCTAGCAATTGCCCAGGATGTGAACATATACTGACCATTTTCTGTGTTCTTTTTTATTTCTCTTCTGACTTTAAAGCCAAAGATTTCCAGCTATTGTGCAACAAGCTAGCCTTGTTTAGAGAAACTATAATTATTGTGATAACTAGGACCAGCTCCTTTGGGGAGAGGGTGTGAGAAGAGGGGAAGTTTGGAATAGTTTTAGCAACATTTACTATCTTGAGGACTGTGACAATATAGTTTTCATCATGCCTACAGTGGAGCCAAGTATATTAGGTATTAAAAAATGGGATGGAATATATGCTAGTCTTTATAACCCATCTTATACACACAGAGTTCATCAAAACTAATTAAAAACTATTGGGACTTTCAGCTTAAGTTAAAAATGAGTGCATTCCAGAAAATAGTGAAAGGTACTTGGTTATCTGTATGATTAATGGGAAGGCCTATTGGAGCATATCACCTGGGCCTTTTGTGCCCATAAGAGATTTTTCCAGGTACTTGAGATCAGCAAAGATATTTAGTAGGCTTAATGCCTAAAGAACGAATTTGTTGGGTTTTTTTATACTGAAGGGTATGTTGTACTTGCAACTAAGCTGCTAAACCTCAATACTCTATGTAGGGAGGTCACTTTAAATAGTTCAAACACGAGCCAATATATAGTTACTTTTAATTCCGTCCTCACCATTTAGGGAAGGGAAAAGGATTTGCCCTTGCTCTTTTAATTGCTTAAGAAATCTTGTTGGCAATACAGAAAGTTATACAGAGATGAGACCTCATCAGAAAACTTGTCTTTTATCCAAAAAAATTCTTAACACAGACAATATCTAGCTTTTTAACTTCCAAACTCCACATTAACACTAGCAACTGTACTAGGATTATTGCCAGAAAGACTGAATAACAATTAATTTTGGCTGTTACATCTTAATGTAAATTACGAGAAACCTTTTTGTGCATCTGCCTTTTGCAGCAGGGTATTACGTTGCAGTTTAGGTGAGTAATGAATCACAGACTTCTGAGCCCTAAATTGATTTTACTAGTTAGTTTTCTTGTTAACCTCTAAAATATTGCTTTGCTGAAGAAAGTTAACATGCTGGAGTTCCAGTGGAAAGTAGACATAGGCTCCCTAAAATGTATAAAGAACAAGATCTATGAAAATACAGTCTCAGAGAGGAGAACGTGACCCTGCTTGGGGACAAGTGAGTGTTTGACTGCTGAGAACTCTTTGCAGCTGAGTCACAGCTCCACATGCCTTTTTCCTTCCTTCAAGCACAGTCTCTGTTTTAAGAGAGCTTTTCTTTGGGGAGAGGGGGAGGTTGGACTTAACTACAGATCTTAATTTAGGGATAAAAGGAGAGTGGGGGAGGAGGAAATAGTGCTTCCCTACAATGATGGGTTTATGTGTGCCAAGACAGCAGGAGCAGTTCTTTGGGCTTGAGTTCCCGGAAAAGGCAAGGCTTTCTTCTGCTTCATTAACAATTTATTAAATGTGGCTGCACCAAAAGGCATTGCTGTATGTAGATTTAAGTGACAGAACAAGATGGTGACCTATGACCGTATTGTTTTAATTATTCAATCCCAGTGAGATGAAGAATAAAGACTGTATGATATATTTAATACTTTAGCTTCTCCCAAAGAGCTGGCCTAGGTACAAGCAAGAATACCAAGGCAGTTCTGTGTTTATTGGCTCTAGTATGACCGGAAAAGAGCCATCATACTAACTCCCATTAGAAAAAACCTTTCACAGTTTCCTGAAACAGGCAAACTCGTCTGCCTGCTCCTGAGGCAGCTGCAGCGCCCAGATAACTTGTGAGCTGTTCACAACTGGCTCTAGCTATGCCAGACTATGCCAGGATTCTTCCACCAGTAGACAAAGATAGTTCTCACCCCACACCTGAAGCTAAGCAATGACCAAATGTTTGTCTAGAAGTACAATAGCAACTATTCATCCCAGTCATAGAGATCCTATGAACAACTTTATAGTTTTATAACCACAATGCTTTTAGGATGCAGTATCAAATTATGAACTTAATAGTTAGCTTAAATAGGGTGTAGCTTAAAAGAACCCCCCCACCACCACCAGTACAAAGAAGCTAATCCTAGCTGAGCCACTCACTGGAATGACTTTGGCAGATCACTCAATCACCTCATCTGTTAATCCACACAGAAAAAAAATCAAATTGAAGAAAAATTCTGTCTCACCAACTAGCTGCTGTTGTGAGCAAAGGTTGTCGTCTTTTTCACTGTAAGGCCATGGAGTTTCCATGTTGACTCTCAAAGACAAATCTCGCTTTAAAATAATGACACCAATCTCCGATAGATACCCAGTTGTGAACCTGCGCTTTGGTGAAGATTACTTTGGCACATTTAGGAGTACCAGAGTAATGCTGTTGGCTTCTTTATGTGGGACATATTCTAAGTTGTTCCTTAGAATAAAATTTTACATTTTTCCCCAGCTATTGTTTCTTTTTGTATTTTCTGCGAATGTGTTCAAATAAGCTCCCCCTATTGCGATTCAATTTTGGAAATGTGATTGCAAAAATAACATATTTTGGTTTAGGGTGTTGGTGTTTAACCTGTCTTGAATTCAGACTTGGATATGATTTTTGTTTTGAGCATGGTCACAGGCCTGCAGTGTCATGCAAGGCAAATCTCTTGATCTGTTTGAACGCCATTCATGCAACATAAATTGTCTCTTTCTGTAAAGAGCTTACGTAGGGCTTTGCTCCTTATGTTTCTGTACTACTTTATCACTGCTGTGAAGTTACGGCTTCAGCATGGCTTAGCAACAAAGCCTCAACTACATTCTGGCTGGTGCGTTGTAGTGAGGAAACTTACTTAATAGCAGCAGTGAGGATTGCACTGCTGGGCAGAAACAGGATTTTCAAACAAACAAAAGAATTCAGGAAAAGCAAACAAACTGAATGATAGGTGTTCATATGACTTTGCAGCTAGATTCTACTATGTTAGTTTAGAAATAGAAACAGGTGGAGATGACTGGAATAACAGAAGTTTCCCATGACTCAAGATGGCTTGCTGAAAGCACACACGTGCAAGTAGGAATAGGTGTGGCATTTGCATATTTTAGTTACGTGATTGTGACCACTTGCTCAGCTGGATTTCCTGTGTGCCGGCTATTGTTGTCCCTTTTCCCCCACCATGTGCACGCACAAAACTCTCAGCAAAACAAAATCCATTGCCTTGAAGAATCCAGTAAAAGTAGAAGGCTTTCTGAACGGTGGTGTGTAGCCTGTGGATGCAAACCTAGGGTAGGCTTCAACTTGTCTAAACTTCTGTTTGTTCTTTGGGAAATTCATCTACAATTCTACATTGAAGCCAGGAGGAAAATAATGTTTTTCTTGGAAAACTGACCGTCTTCTTCCTTTGTCTTGTCATGCCAGGGACTCAGTTAGCTTGTGTTTAGCCAACACTGAAGTTATTACCTCTGCTTCTTGTTTATCTATTCTGTCATCTCAATATAGATATGATTTTTTAAAAAGAATGTCCTTTTGTTGCCCTTCCCCTTTTATAGGTGGTAGCAAGATTCATTTTCTAGAGTCAGAAATCATGTATGATGTATATTGATAGTAGCCTTTGGATTTTATTAACTGTTATGCCCTACGTATATTTAACAATGCTTGTTAAATAGTAGTTGTTTAGAGCTTTTAGCAGTGATAAGTTAGTCCTGGAGAACTGTAGTTTCGAAGTGAGTTAATGATGTCATGTGACATGACATCATGCTGTGGTTTTTTGCAGGCAAAATGGCTGTAAAGTTGTATGCTTCAGATGGAACTGATAATTTGCAGGCGCAAACATAGTTGCAAGGATGAATTTGTTTTATTTTTCTTTATACCAATATACAGATTTATAAAAGGATTCTTAATAATTACAAGTGAGCAGTTTGAACACTGGCTTCCATTGTGTCTTCTGGTAGTTGAGGAGACTGACGGATGTTCTTGATTGTTTATAGGACTGTAGCTGCATCCAAAATGACCAGAACTGAAACTTTTGTGTTAGCTGCCAACATTCAGTTTTCTATCAGAGTTACGTTCAAGCATAAGTATAGGGGAGACCAGTGTTTTGTTGTGAGCTGTTAATACTTGTGCTTCAAGAGCTTATAACTGAGGAAATAGCGATAACCACGCAGCCAGGACTGTCTGCACCCCCTGGCTCTGCATCAGGGCTGCCTGGCAAGCTGTTCCGAGCCAGCATGGTGATCAGTTTTCAACCCCAAAGCTGACAGTAACTACGTCACAACTAGGATTTTTTAAATTCATGTTAAGAGCCTAAATATTCAACAACCTGCAGAGATTTCCATAGCATTTACATTAAATTAGTAGATAAGTTAGTAGAGCTGGACTGTGTAGTTGGGCATAATTCAATGGGAGTTTCCCCTCTGCTCAATACTTAACGTGTTATCTCTCCTTTTCATTGCAGGCAAACTGAAGGATTTGGGAAATTTGGTTCTCCGCCCCTTTGGCCTGTCAACAGAAAATTTCCAGATAAAACAGGATTCATCAACTGGTTCATACTCCATCAATTTTGTTCAAAATCCAAACAACAATAGATAACATGAATTCAATCTAGTTCTGCTGGTTTTCAGGCTTTCTGATCGTGTACTTGCACGTACCAATCAAAGGATTCAGCAAACATTCTTCATGCTCCCCAAGTGAAGATAAGACTCGAGCATATTCATTTCCCTGCTTGTGACATTATTTACAATGTGGATGTAGAGCAAGTCATTTGACTTCTCTTAGTGCTATGTCCAGTGTGTGATTTATTACTTTTTTAAATTTTTTTTTCTTCCCTTGCAGTGTTTGGCTTATCCAAGTCAGGTTCATTATTTTGGCCCATTCAATGCTGGCACCAAAATTCTGTCAAGCGATGCAGTTGAATCAAAATGCTCACGCACCTGTAGCCAAGAACAAAGCCTAATTGTGTCTTGGGGAATTAATGAATCTAGCAGAAGCACTTCTCCACACTCAGCAGGTGGATATGACTGCCAGCATGCATGGAAGCAAGCCAACTTCTGTGGAATAATTTTTCTTTGTAATAAAGGCTTGGTATTTCTGGTGGTTTGGTTTGTGAAGTTCTTGCCTTATTTGAGTCCTTCCCATGGTGGTAGTGTTGTTAAAAGTGCTTATAGCCACCCACAAATAACATACTTGCAAGACATTCATTTGAAGCATGTATTTTTTTTCTAACAAGGGCATGTAGAGATAGGATGAGGGGTAATGGTTTGAAACTGAAAGAGGGCAGATTTAGATTATATGTAAAGAAGAAATTCTTCCCTGTGCGGGGGGTGAGGCCCTGGCCCAGGGTGCCCAGAGCAGCTGTGGCTGCCCCCTCCCTGGAAGGGTTCAAGGCCAGGTTGGACGGGGCTGGGAGCCCCCTGGGCTGGGGGAAGGGGCCCTGCCCGGGGCAGGGGAGTGGGACTAGATGGGCTTATGGTCCCTTCCAACCCATTCTGTGATTCTAGGATTTCTTTTGTATTGCGTGTAGCGATATCAATTAATTAACCCCAGGCCACCCATACACCACAGTTTGTTTACTTTTTATTAATTTTTCTGAAGCCAAACAAGGAAATTTTGTGCCTATATCTATCTATACACACACACTTTGTAATGATACCATAAAATCAGCTAAATTTTCTTGTGTGAGATTCATTCATATTAGAGATAGTCATAATGGCAAACAAATCAGTGATGTTAAAGTTGCTTCTAAAAGATCTTCACAGATCTTGAAGACTCAAGTATCTAGATAGGTGCTGTTGAAGTAGTTCATTCAGATTTTGGGGAAGAGGTATCTTTTGTAATTATTACTTGCTGGTTTTTATATTGATGCTGAAATGTTTACATAGGAGGCAAATTTTCAGTTGTCTCCATGCAGATTTCAATATATGGTTTAATTAAATAATTAGTGGTGGCTGTTGGCTATGGGTTGTCATCTTGAATTTATTTCCAGAAGTCTCTTTGTGCGTACTTAAGGACTGAAATTACAGAGCTCCAGTCTTTACACGAGTATGCCTGAAAAGAATAGTCTCTCAAGCTAAAGTGTTCTTGGTGCTTTATTTTCACTTGTCTCTGCAGCTGTGGAGGGTTTTTTGATTGTTGTTTAACTCCGTTCTGCTACATTTTTAGTTTTGAATTTGTGGTTACCTGTTTGTTTGTAAACTATCTCAAGTCTGCAGTGAGTATGTATTAAATTTATGGGAATTAAAATGTCGTGTCAGAGGAAGAGTGAAGCCCTAGTTCAGAGTGAGGCCTGCACAGCTTTTAACATCTTCTGCATAATTAAAATGTCACTTAAGAAAATAACATCAAACAGCCTCTAGGATTTCCATGTGCTGAAACTGTAACTATGCCATGCTTTAGTGGAATAAAGTTTCTAATGTGCAAGGCTGAATTTCCTTTACTGTTAAAGTTTGGGCAAAGGGGTAGACACCTACCCACTGTGGATGGGAGGTTTTAAAGGAAGATTTTTCTCCCCCAGTGCTGGAGAGGGGTTTGCCAGCCGGAGGCATGGGGGCAGAGGGCTGAGCTTGCCCAGGCCGTGGGGGGGGGAGTGTGCTGGAAGAAAAGTGCTGCCACCCGAGAGGCTGTGCAGGTCCAGCTAGGCTGAACAACCACTCTGCTTTCTGAACTGAGCTCTTCACATGCAGGGAAGGCTTACAGGGTTGGGCAGAGTGTTGGGACTAACAAATGCTAATAATCTTTCCTGAACCTCGGACGGCTGCGGAGCAAAGGCTGGCTGAGCTGCTGCCGAGGCAGCGCTGGGCTGAAGCTCCTAAACTCAGGTTGTGCCCCAGCTGAGGCACTGGGGTACAGCGCAACGGCGTTTCCCTGGGGCTCCCAGGTCAGCGCGGGCTGGGCCGGGGTGTCAGTTCTTGCTGTGGCAGAACACTCCGTGCCACCCGGAGTGGGAAAGGAGGCTGGCCCCTGACTGTAGCTCACTTTCCCCAGGGGCTGAAGGGTGGGGAAAGGAGTTCACAGGGGCTCTTGTCTCATTTACCGCCATCGACACTAGTCCTGCATCACTGAAGGTGCAGCAGACTGGGTCTGGGCCCTGGGTTTCACTCGGCTGCAACATATATACACACACCCTCAGAGCGTACAAAAATGGAACCACTTTGAAAGTACTATGGAGGCTTCAAATTTTCTACGTATTTTTGTTATGACCAATTGATTGCTATCTTGATACACACACACAGTGTGTGTGTCTCTGTTAGTTACCACCGTATGGCTGTTGTGCAAAGTTGCAAGCAGTGGCTTTTAGCAACGTGCTGCTTGTCTTACAAATGAGTGCAGTGAGAATTTTTTTTTCCCTTCCATTCTGTTCCTGCTTCACATCTTTAAACAGCTGGAGGGCTGCAAATATGCCTTCTTGGGGTGGAGGCTGGTCAACTTATTCTGGAAAATAAAAGCACAACAAAACTTCTGAAATTACTACCTGCTGTGCAAATGCAACATCAAATAAGTGTGCAACTTCCCTGCTGGATGCCTGATGCATACCTATAGTTTTAAAATGAAGGGAGGAACAAATGAAGCTGAAGGATTGCAGCTGATTTGCTTCCACCCTTGTTTTTGTAATTTAATTGCATTGTGTGAAAGAGGCAGGTTAGTGTCACTGGAAATTGGGGACACCATTACTGAGGATTCAAATCTATAGGTCAGTGCCACTCTCCAGCTAAACCAGAAACCTCTGAAATGTGTTATCTGCCATTAGAGCAAGTTCTCCTCTAGGTAAAATTCCAATTAATTGCCTGAAAGAAGTCCTTTTGCATTGTCCAAATCCTGAACAATTACACTTACTTTGCTTTTTATTTTTAGGGGATTTTTTTTTTTAATGTCATCACAGCTGCCACCAGAAAGGTAATTGGTACTTCCTCCTGGTGTAATTGGCCACAATTCCAGCACAGTGCCAGGATGTTTTGAGTCACACATGTTGGGCTTACAACCTCTAATAGGAAAAAAATGTTTTATGAAACATAATCTTTTAAATATATAAGTGCTCTTAAACCAACAAGTTCCTTGATAATTTGTTCCAGTAGTTACTCACTTTTATTGTAACAAGCCTTTTTTCCACTTTGAGGTGTCTGTCCTCAGCTCCCAGCCTTTGTTCCTCCTTACTCTGCCTGCAAAATAAAAAGCCTTTTAGTACCTGGCCTTTTCTCCCTGAACGTGTTGTCATAGCAATGAAGGGGCCTGTTGGTCTTCTCCATAAGCTGAAGAGACAGGGCTGCTTTAAGTCTCTCCCTACAAAGAACTTTCTCCAGGATTTCCATAATGTTTGTGCCTCAGACCTTCCATTTTTTGACATCAGAACTGACGCTGAGATTTGTCTCCCTTCTGCTCTGTACAGAAGGCATGCCATTCTTACTTCTTCCTTCTTCCTACCCTCAAAGACCATCTTAACCCTTCTGGCAACTGATGTGCTAAGTTTTAGACCCGCCCCCCCCAGCTTTTTTCTGGGATAGCTGAGGTACTCCCCCCTTTCCTGCAGCTGTGAATGACATTTTCTTCCTCGTGTTAATACAGTTAAATGCAAAATTAAGTCACTTTGGCAGGCCTGGCTTACTGAGCAATATATGGTGTTCTGTGTCTTCTCTTACCATGTTGCTTACCAGCATTTTCAGGAGGGACTTTAGATTTGTTTCCCAGCCACTGACGAAAGTGTCAAATAGTTCGAGGCCTAGTAGTGATTTGAGCGGAATCTCACAGGAAACATCCCTGTTTGGAGGACAGTGGCAAACTGTTTGAGATCTGTCAGGGACAATTTTACTCCGTGGGTGCCTCACTTGTTTTATACTGTAGTTATCTGTACGTATTGCGTATGCTGGGGAGTGCGATGCCAGGTGATGCATCTTTATAATTAGATTTACTAAGCCTGGTTGAATGACAAGGTCTATTTTTGATGGATTTTAACTACATGTTTGCCTTTAATTCTTCATTAATGGATTTCTGATCCTGTTTTCAGATCCCTATCCCTGATGTCAGATTAACCAGCCTATATTAACCTGGGTTGTCATCTTTGCCCTCTGCTGCTCCACTGACCTGTCTCTGTATCCAGCACACGGGAAAGGCAAAGTGGGTGAGATAGTTGGCCATTTTAGGAGAAATATCTGGGCATATTTCCAGTCCTGTTACTGTTCTGCCTGGTTGCTAACAGAACGGCAAATACATCATCCCACTTGCTTTAAATCGAGAAATACCGAACACCAGTACTTCTATTGTCTGCAACAGGCCCCCACCACATTTTGAATATTGCTTTTGTTCCTAATAGATTAAAATTTCTTTCATATCATCCTTACCTTTGTTAGTCATGTCTTTTTTAAGCTTTCCTTATCAAGATTGTATTCTCTTGCATCAGGTTTACAGCAACTACCTTTTTTGTTTTCCCATATGCACTGTTTTTATTTTTTAATTGCTGCCTTCATGTCACTATTGAAATTCCTGGTTGTATAGCCAAAGATTACCTCATTTTGCAGTTAAAAATAAATTTATATTTCCTCTGTCTAGCATCTTAGAAATTTACATTTTTCTTTTTCATTTTCTCATTTCTAGTCAAGTTTACCCAATTCTTCCTTCTAGTTTTACAGTTTTTAAAGCAGGGGTAGAAATGGAAAAAAAATATGTACATTTATATGTGGGTAGATGTGCATAGATCTGTGGGCAACTCCAGACTCTGTCCATAACCACCAACTTCCAGGACACTGATTTTTGCCTCTAGACATTTTAATATGGCTCAAAGTAACATATCCAAGATCTCATATTATAAAGCCCTTCTAGAAATAATTTTAGGAAACTCAGAGTGTCCCTTACATCTCTAGCAGTTTATCTTTTCATTACAAGGGCACTTGAAAAGTAGCTCATCTGTTTTCTGGTGAGGGCCCATTTGTCCTGTTTCCTAACATTTATCACCATGCTGATTGATATGTGCTCCGTAGCCATTTTAGTCTACAGTATTTAAAATTGCTGCTGCTTCTTCCTCTACTTACTCCACCCTTCCTGAATAGGTAATACCCAGGAATGGCCAGTCCAGCCATTTAAGCCATCCCACTACATGACCATATTCT